TCTCTTATCGCGTTCGGCCAATAAAAGCAACACGTGTGCCGTATTTTTATGATTGTGTTAGAAAAAGGGAGCTTATGGGAATAAGGCCCAATCAGACCCACATTCGTTACGCAGTAGTGTGTAGAGCTTAAGAGTTTGTCCCTGGAAAGAATGCACATAAGCCCACTTTCGCTAACGCAATCATAGAAATAGGGCACACGTATTGTCATCAGGGGTGTGTGAGAACTCGAAAATGTCGGGAACCCGATGCTTGGGGCGGGTTAAGTCCCGAAAGAATCTCAGAATTCGAGAATTTCGGGATTCTCGAGAATTTCGGGATTCTCGAGAATTTCGGGATTCTCGAAAATGTCGGAATTCTCGAAAATTTCGGGATTCTCGAGAATTTCAGGATTCTCGAAAATTTCAGGATTCTCGAAAATTTTAGGATTCTCGAAAATTTCGGGATTCTCGAGAATTTCAGGATTCTCGAAAATTTCGGGATTCTCGAGAATTTCAGGATTCTCGAAAATTTCAGGATTCTCGAAAATTTCGAGATTCTCGAGAATGTGGGGATTCTCGAGAATGTCGGGATTCTCGAAAATTTTAGGATTCTCGAAAATTTCGGGATTCTCGAGAATTTCGGGATTCTCAAAAATGTCGGAATTCTTGAAAATTTCGGGATTCTCGAGAATTTCAGGATTCTCGAAAATTTCGGGATTCTCGAGAATTTCAGGATTCTCGAAAATGTCGGGATTCTCGAGAATGTGAAATGTCGGCCAAATTGGCGCATTCTCAAAATCACTCCGGAAGTAAGAAGAAGGATTATCGATTACACAGTCCTGGAGGAACCGGAACTGGACAGCGACATTCAAGCAATCTCTGTATTTACTGCAACATTTTCTATCGAGTCTGTGTAAATAAATATCAATCGCGGTTACGCATAAAATTATTAAAACAATGTCTAAAGGTAAAAAGAACCAACAGCAACGTTTGTTCAATTATAATGGTAATTAACGTTAACGAAGACAATGTAGCGAAACAAAGAGGGCGGGGAATAGGATGTGACAAAAGAAAAAATCGTACGACAAAGCCCGTGGAATAAAGGCGTAGGATACGCGATGGAAGAACGGTACAGAGAAAGCGCAGGCAAAGACAGAAGCGGGAGTACGATAAATTATAATTAGATCCGAGCCGAATTTGACAATCTCTGGCACGCATGAATCATGTATTAACCCAATCGCAAATGGGTATTAACAGATGCCCGTGTAAAATTATAGCTCCTCCTGGTTCGTATGCATATGCAACGGCAGCATTGGCGAATTCTTAACTACACATACGTTACAATATGTTCCGCAATGCTGTATAATAATTTGAACATCCCCAATAGGATATACGTTCCCTAATTTCGTTAATGAATAATAACAGTTGACGAATTGGCCGCTCGTGCTATTAATACTTCAACGATAAAATGACATTTCACTGTTAAGAGTGTTGCGAATAGGCTGGTCGCGAAACGTTAATCGTCCCTCTTTTCGAGTCAAACCATCTAAGGAATCTACCCGGGATAGGGGTGTTAAGGATACTTAAGTTTAGGACCAGGTTTACGATACGGTCGCGACTCTGCTATTTTTGAGATTAAGGTTTGAATACGCGTTTAATGTTTTCGTTCGTTAATTATTCCTTATTGTCAGGAGGGCTCCAAACCTCTCATAAAAGCGGAGAATTTGGAGTTTCTTCGTGCATCTCAATAGCAATTGACGTATCACAAACCCACGCGAGCTGAGACACATGCGAGCCGAGCGAGCGGTACCGTTACCCTGGGTTTCTCCCAGAAGCTCAGGTGACGCGTACCTCACTCAGAACACCCCTTCCCTAAGGGTGAGCGGTTGGCGTCGGGCCGTCGACCAAGGCCCTAACTTGATTGGGAGTTTTGGCCCCCCACCCAAATCTCACCCCCGTCAAGGGACCCAAATGAACGGACAAAAGCCGTATAACTGGTACGGGACTGAAGGGACTGAACTCTGGTACGAACGATTACACGAATTTTGAACCTCAGGACATTGGACTCGCACACATTTAAGAACTCAGTTACATTGCATTACTGTTACATAACAAACTGTGCTGCAAATAAAGAGTTATTTGCTATATAATCAGGCATCATGAACATTGTGGGAGCCAACAAGGGGACTTCAGGTAGTGCACGGTAGATTGATTGTTAACGCACAACGACTTGTTCTTGAACTACGTATTTGAGAACGTGTACAGAGCGCGAAATGTCTGAGCTCACTTGTAGGAGAATTGTGAGTCGTGTCGTACGGTTTTCGCTATTTTATAAACTACGCGTGTGTTGTGATTGGTGGAGTGAAGCTGTCGCAGGTGGTGGAAGTGTGTGGTGATTGGTTTTGTGGGTGGTGTGAAAGTGGGGAATTTGTTCTTACATTTGTTATATTGCTCGGTGACGTCGAAGGTCTGTTTATTATCTTAGGTGATGTGGTGTTCAGGTGTGAGAGGCGTCGAGTAAAACAATTTTCGTGCCGGCTAAGACCTCGCTTTTCAGGACGTGCTGGTCTATTGGGAATACCGATTTATTCCCAAGCGACGTCTGTTACGCATGTGACAAGAGTGAACAGAGGAACATCTCGAAGTGACAATCACCGATTTTCATGAAACTCTGGTATACAGTAGTTCCCAAAAATATATCTGACACGTCTTTTTGTATATCGACAATCGTCCACATTGAAGTGGTGAAAATCACCCTTAACCCTTTCGCTCCGAAGGGCGTATATATACGCCCTCGAAGAATGAACATTCGCTCTCGAAAAGTGGGCGCTCGGGTACGAAGAGCGTACATATACGTTCATACCATATATACTTTTGTTTCTTTTTTGTTTTTGCGACAAAATTATCGTTTGCCAAATTTCATTTAAATCTTATAAGACAGATATTGGCAACATATGGGAAAGAAAAATCAGATATGAAATGTTTAGTTACACGAAATAGTAACAATGTTGAAAGATTTGCTGAAAGACATTTTCCGTCTGTATATTCGAATAAGGCGGCAAAAAAGAAAAATCAAGTTCGAAAATGTGTCATCTGCAGTAAACAAGGAAAAAAGACGTGAGTCAGATACTATTGTTCACAATGTGATGTTGGTTTATGTGTGGCTCCATGTTTTGAACTTTATCATACCAAAGTTGATTATTAATTATGTGATCGCCTTTAAATACTTTAGTAATTTTGTTATATTGTAATAAGAAATATTATATGAACATTATAATGTAATATTTTAAATAAAAAGTTATATTTTAGAAAATAAAATGATATTACTAAATATAATAAACTTCATTGTAAAATTTAGAGAACAAGAAACGACTTGTAATTACTTCGTAGCATTCCGTACCTCAGTGTCGACTAGTCAGTAATGCGCTCCGATTCGCCGTAGCGAAAAGGTTAACAATGAAGGCAGTAAACACATTTGCTCTAATATCTTCAAAATTGTAAATTGACGAATTTTGTATTTTTCATTTCATGTGGCCGACCGACACTATGTCGGCGCTGGCACACAAAGTACCGTATTCCGGAACGCACGTGCTGCGTCCATGACAGTTATCGAGGGAGAGACGTTCTAGGAATTGACGGCTGTTATTGTCATCGTTATTAATAACTGTATAACAAAACTATCATTTTCGACGAACAAGTACGATAAACAAATTTTTATTCATTAACACCTTTGCTGCCACCAGAAAATTTGGAAGGGCACTCGTGTGCCACCAATTCTTTTCTTCAAATTTTCTACATTTGTAGGAGACCTCGATAGAAGTATCAGACAATTTTTTTTACCCCTTTTCGCTCTTTAAAATGAAAACATCCCTTAAAGTTTGACGTGACCGGAACATAAGTAAGCGTTTTCGTATCGTCATTTCTTCGTCGTTTCCGCATACAGCGAAGATTCGAAGGCACTGAAGGAACAACGTTAAAATGAAATTCCATTTATCGAACATCCCGGTTCGCTCCCGCTTAAAGATAAAGGATCTTGTATCATTTACGAGGCTGTTTAATATCGGGGCAATGTAAATAATGCAGTTATCGGGCTTGCACGGCGTGTCCGCCGGCGAAAATAACGCATTACACATATACACTACCGGGCAAAAGTTTCGAATCACCTCCCACTTTTCATCAATATTTTACAGATTTGATGTTTATCTCAATTCTACATTTATCAATTTATCTCATATCAATCGATTCGAACGATAAAGAATTCTCAAAGTCGCTGACTATTTTCTGCAAATTTTTGTGCAAATTGCAATGCTCGGTGATTCGAAACTTTCAGCCGGTAGTGTATATCACGGGGCAATTTAAAACAAAGTCAAAAAGCATGGTTTAGTGTAAGGTGTGGTGTTATTCCAATTTTATACAAACTTTCACGGCGTTCTACACTTTCCTCCCCCATAAAGTTTGCCGTTCTTGCGGCTCCCCCGGACTTAGCCGCATAATGTAAACCAAAATTAACGGTCTAGTTTTGCACAACGGGCTCTCTCCTCCTCTCCGCGTGCAAGCCGAGACAAATTCACACTGGCAAATTTAATAACGTATATCCGAAGCAACAATGCAAAATTAAGAAAAAAGGAAAAACAAGAGAGAGAGAGAGAGATCCTTTCAACATCGTAGAAAAGACGAGCCCAGCCATCGCCTGGCGCGGTATTTAATCGTGATACCACGTAAAAGTAACAACACGCTAACTGCAGAGAGAAAGAGAGATCGGGGCTGATTACGACAGAGCCAACGATAGAGAAAAAGACACGTGTATCGAAGGCATTTTTAATAAATAACGGAGCACAGGGATTTACACAGTCTGCCCGCGTTCATATTTCGCCTATATACTTTCGTTAAAAATTCACCAGCGAGAGATCACCGAACGAGATCAAAGCGCGGGAATTTCAAATTACAGATGCATATAACGTGTAAAGGTGTGCCACACCGGTCGAGGATATATTTACAAAAGCACAATTCATTCTACTAACCTCCACAAGAGTAATAAGGATGATGAAGAGAGGTGGTGGACAGCACGTGTAATGATCGGCGTAGTATTTCCGGTCCCTTTCCTCTGTAAGGAATTCATCGCCGATCATGCGGACCATCCTGCAACCAAGAAAATAAACCTTTTCATTCACTTTACCTCTCTGCCCTCTTTATATCCGGATTCACTTTTCCATCGCGTCCACTTAACTTTGTATTAGACTTACGAGCAACGATTACGCGTCAATTTGTTGTATCGTGTGACGTATAGAGTTGCGTGGAAATGAAATGTTTTTCTTGAAGATTTAAAATGTCTTGAAAGCATAAAATATAGATCAAAGGATTGAATTTTAAGGAAAATTTAAGGATTGAATTAAGGCGAGAGTGTACCAAAAGTCACCACAGTGCGAGAAAATTTTCAAAGTGAAAAGGTTGAATTTTGCTTAAAATTCAATCCTTCGAGTAGTCTCGCTTTAATTTAATAATAGACATTTAAAAATGATAAATTTAAAAAATTTTTGAACGCCAAAACGAAAGATTCTGCCGACAATCCGCCGAAAGGGTTCAAATGCTAAGTTCCTCGTGAATTTCTTCAGAAATTTAGACAAAATTTAGAACTCAAACTTGCTCTATTTCAAAACCTTAGAAACCCTTCTCCCTTAGACTTACACATAGTAATCACGAAAAAAAAAAAAACATTTACTACAGCAACAATTGAGAGAACGTGATATTCCACCGAGTAAACGAATCGGTTAAAGAAGAATCGAGACACGAAACGACAGGAAAAGATGGCACAATGAGAGGCGGCAGCGACAGAGCGTAAGCTGAACTTCATAGATCCTCCACGTTCCCGATAATATCTCGGCAGCATACCGTGAAATAATTATGAAGAAATATCGGCCCATAACTCAGTCCACTATCTATAATATCTAACACGCTTATGGTATCGAAGATAAACTATCTTCTACTTGTTTCCATTGGCTCGGGGCGAAGGTAGAAGTCGCTCAAACTGGGGTGAACAAGAAAGGAGCAATTAGAGAGAAGCTAGGTGGAGAAAGATATGGAGCGTGGGGGGGGAAGAGTGGGGGAGAGAAGTAAGAATTAACGGAAAAGATGAAAGAAACACGGTAAGGGAAAAGTAGAGCAGAACGAATAAAACAGCAGCAGGTAGGTAGAGAGAGGAGAGGCTGGGGGGTATAAATATTAAAGAAATGAGAACCAAGACTAATTACGGAATAACACACAAATCAAGAAAGCGATGGAAAAAGTTCTGGCTAGGTGGGCCGCGACAAAAAGACCAAAAAACGGGGTCAAGAAGTGATACCAACAGGGGAAGAAAATTACAAAACGAGAGTAACTATTGAAAAAAAAAAAAAAAAATACAGATATTTCCAAGCTCGATATGTGTACATATAGAGTATTCTGAAAATCATGGAGGTGATTTCTCACGTAAAAATAAATCGAAAATATGGAATATTTTTTTGGTATAGGGTTCCGTTTTCGAGAAAATCGAATTTGAATATTCATTTCTTTAAGGGGGGAAGTTTCTAGTGTGACGGTTTGAAAAAATCGATTTTTACTTTTTTGCATATATCGAAAGTTAAGAATGTACTCCTGGAGTTTTATAGTTGTATTCAATAAAATAGCGAAGTTATAGCTCTTTTAGTGTGACACATCAAGGGAGAATCTAAATTGCACTGAAAACTTGAAACGCGTTTTTCTCGGAACCGTGTTTTCTGAAATGGTTGCCACGATCTGGCGAAAACTACTGAACCAATCGAACTCAAATTTTGCACATGTCTTCGGAACATGTGTGGCTATGGTCGGTAGTAGAATTATGCCAAAGTATATATTTTTCTGATTTTTAGAGCCTCTGAAAGACGAAAAAAAGTCGAAAAAATCGATACTTCGTATTCAAAGTGTCGCCATTTTTTTAATTTTCAATATTTTTCTTTTATTCTACTACCGACCACAGCGACATGCATACTAAATAAGAATCAATTGGAGTTTTTTATTTCTGATAAGCAGAACAGCTCAAATCATGGCTACCATGGACCTACTTCTTTTTTCATGCTCCTGTTTCACGTGTTCCACAGCAGCCATATTTAATTATTTTTCAACAAAAAAAAATTTGTAATGATTCTTCAAGGATAAGCAAAAGCCTAGGAATAAAGCTCGTGTTAATAACTGTTACCGTACTTCTGCAATAAATTAGCTAAGAAGGCCTAAAATAACGACCGTCACACTAGAAGACCCCCTTAATGTGACTCCACTATTCTAAAGATAATTGAAATCATCTTGAAACTGAACGAGCAAAAATTTGTTTGCGACATCAAGGACGACATTTTTAGGAATTTGTACCAAATGCAGACTGACAGAAATAGTGGAGAATCGTCGGCAGATTTTAGTTAACCAAATGCACCCTACTTAATCAATATCCAAATTCGAATATAAATCCTTTATTAAGAAATATTGAATTTAATTTTAAATTTTATATAAAACTGAACTAACTCGGAAATAATTACTACAATCAATTTCGGGATTAGTTATATACACTACCGGCCGAAAGTTTCGAATCATCTGCCAATTTATATTAATATTGAATCTGCTGCTAATTCTTCATTGATTTGAAATTGACGTTGCGGAGATCAATAGCACACTTTATCTCATTTCGATTGATTCGAATAATCAAAAATTCGTTGGAAAATTATTATAAATGCTAACGTTTTTGGGGAATTTTTGTGCAACTTGCAATGCACAGTGATTCCAAACATTTGGCCGGTAGTGTAGATATGTATATTTTAATTAAACATAACTTAATTTATAAATATTCATGTCAGACTTATTAGTTCAATATTTGTTAATTGATGATATTTGATTAAATAAATTAATTTAATTATAATTCAAGGTAAACGAACGAATTTTAGTCTATATTTTCGACTTATTTTTGCACGAGAAATCACCTCTTTTTCAGTTGCACCACAATTTCCGAACACTGTATGATCACGTACAATGTTGTCGTAGGAATATCGAAGTTATTGTAAATAAGTGCTTTCTTTAAAAAAAAAACTGTTAACATTAAAGAAACTTTTCCATATTTATTAAATCGTTTCGAACTTTAAGACGTACCTGTATAAAACTCGTGTAAAATTGCATCTCTGTATAAAAGAAAAGCTTGTATTAAACCGTATGAAAGTGATGAAAATAATTCTTCAAGTGGTTCGCGATACAAACTCGAAATTGTTAAGTGATCGCAAAATGTACAGAGTGGCAATGAAAACAGCACTTTATGCTCATTTTTAAAATAGAATTAACCTCGCAGGTATACTATCAAGCGAAGGTTTTTTAATAAAAAGCAGAATTACGCGGGCGGGAATGTTTTATGAACACCTAAGTGTTCACGGGAGTACGTGAATCGTGATACCGTTTATTTGTTGTAGCACCTGAAAACCGCAATGTGCGGCCAGTTACCGGCACAGTGTAGTTACTCGCGTAACAGGAGAACAAATATCTTTTTCTCGTTGTCGCAAATCCTTTCATGAAATAACCAAGCGTTTTCTTCTATGAAATACACGCTCGGCGAGCTACGAATGCCAGCGACAGTGGCAAATAAAATAGATTATGTTTAAATACGACAGTTAAATGGTTGAACCGATGTCCATTCGATAGAAAATTATAAGAAAATTAATCCAAGCGTTTACACATTTTTTTCTCTTATTCAATTTTTGCACGGTAAATATACAAAGATAATTATGCGATCGTTGATATGGAAAATTTTGGACATTTCCTTGTAATTCATTATTTAATTTGTATTCCGTGGATACCGAGATGAAAGTTTGCAGAAGAACTACTGTGACGTGGCATTATGTTCCAAATTTTTATAATTGCAGTTTTTTCACCCCTTTTTTTGTTTAATTCTAGAAATTCCTGTTAACGTAAAATGAGGCCATTTTAATTTTGTAAAATCTTTCGTATTTCGTCAACCATCGATTTTCACAATAACACGAATTTTTGTACTAATGTTGTTAAATATTTCGTTTCTCGTTCCGGTACTGGCGATATTAAGTAATTCTCTTTCATATCCAATTTTTGCACAAAATAAAATCTACATTCTTCTTTTTAATTCGATCAATTTTCTTCCTTTTCCTTATCGTTGAATTTGTATTTTTATATTCTTAACCCTAGAGCCGGTCTTCGGGTCTTTTCTGACCCACCGCCTTTTCATACTTTTAGTCATTTCTGCTGTTATCGAGTGTACGTTCCTTAACATTATTTTAAACGTTTATTGTCTAGGTTCATATGTCGCGTTGGAAAGAAAAATTGTTTCGCATAAGGTCTTGGATCCTTTCTGACCAAAAAGTCTTAAGTGTACAGTCAAAACGAAGAACGCGGTAGGGTTAATATCACTTCGTAGGGCAAACTGTGTGTCGATACTTATTTTCAGCAAAAAAAATTTCTCATTCATACAAATATTTCGCAAAAATCGTTTCTACGAATAGTCGAACAACAACTTGATCCCTGACTTCGACGAAAGTCCTACATTTCTGCTAGTGATAATAAAAGTAACCTAAGTCAAAAATACAAAAACACTGAATTTACCACTTACTTTGTATTGCCTCGATCTTTTTACAAAGAACATTTATGTCACAAGAGCAAGTGTTTTGTCAAATATTTTACCACGCGATAAAAAAGTATTTCCTAAAACATCCAAAAGGAAAAATCCCAAATATCTCCAAACGAAAACTACGTAACTTAGCCCCCTCTCGTAATCGACCGGCACACGTTTACCTTCGACAAAACAACGATAAACGAGAAAAAACCCCAAAACAGTTGATCCTCGAGTGCTGCGTTCCGAATGTTCCCGCACAAAGCTCCCCTAAGTGGCCGCAAAATGGAAAAGCAAAATGCCCCGGCGAGAGAAATCAGTGAAAATAGAGACGGTCAGAAACGACGCGAGAGATCTGGTTGGTCTGAAGAAAGAAGGAAAGGGGGGAAAAAGTGTGATCTCGAATGCAGAGTGCCTCCGTGCGCGTGGCTGCCAGGTCCGTAGGCACACACCTAATTGCCAGCACGCCTCGAGACACCGTAGATCGCACGAGCGATTTCCAATTAGCGATGTGACT